GGCCGACGCCTGCCGGGGCTGCGGGCTGTTCGAAAGAGATACCGCGGCTCCGGAACGTAAGGGCACTGAAGGAACACGGATGGTTTTTAGTCAGTAAAAGTCTGACACTCCCTTCCGCTCCACCCAGAGCTAAAGGCGTCATTTGATGATTTTCCATCCGCAAAAAAAAAAAAGGTAGGTGTAAGTCTAAGCATGTTTTTTTGTTAGTCACAGACTTTTTTAGAGAATATTTCACGTTGATAACTAAATTTTAACTTAAAATGAAATAAATAAATCAAAGAAGCATAAAATTTTTAAACATTGCAATTCTTACTGTGTTTAAATAAAATTGAACATTAAAAAAAATTAAAAAGATTTCAAATAAACAATAAGACTTAAAAAACCTACTAACCTAGAACAAAAAAGGAAAATCATCTTACGTTAATTTCGGACTAGTGGCGCATCAATTGCTCTCAGCGGAAACGAAAACTGTTTAGATTATCGAGTTGAAAACTTCAGTGCACGGAGCGGAACAAATATGATAGATTTTACTTCATTTTATATACGCAGGATACAATTGTACCTCAGTCTTACAACTGTGCATAAATCTTTACTCATGACTTTTATAACACATTCTTTTTAAAAGGTTTATATAATAATTTGAACTTTACCTTGTACCTATTATCTTTATCATTTACTGTAATGAAAGTCCTTCAGAAGTTTTTAATGCTGAACATAGGCCTCCCCTAAGGAATGCCACAAAGCACGGTCCTGAGCCACCTGCATCCATCGACTTCCTGCATGTCTTACCAGGTCGTTATTCCATTTAGCGACCGGTAGGCGAAGTGGAGGGTAGCCCTACACTTCGCCTACCGGTACAGGGCTGCCACTGGAGAACCTTTTTTCATCATCGGTTGTCGGCTCTTCGAGCTATTAAGCCGGCCCATTGCCACTTTAGCTTACTAATCCGTTAGGCTAAATCGGTTACTCTGGTTCTAATGTCATCATTACGGATTCTATCGTGCAAAGAAATTCCATCGAAGCCATGTCAATAGATCGCCAAGCAGCTTCCTAATAAGTTCAGCAGTGAAGGACGACGTCTCAGTTCCATATGTTGTAACTGGAAACACGGAATGGTTGTTGGTGCAACTGGTGGTTAATGGATCATTATACATTTCTTGCAATTAAATATTTGTCATAACATTTCTTGCAATTAAATATTTGTCATATTTTAACATCCATATGAAGCCTGGCTGAAGAGTAAATGCTTAATATTACACCTGCATTTTTTCAAACACATCCTTTTTTATTAATTGAAGTGAAAAGTGGAGTAGGCCCTACCAGCCTGTAAAATAATCTGCAAAACGAATTATTATGTTTCTTTGCTCTTAAAATTTTAAAATATTTTCATAAAGTAAATTAGCTATTTGTTTAAAATACTTAAACAAAAGCATGATCATATGCTAACACGATCAATATTCAATTCGTTCGTAAGTCATTTTACAACATTTCTTATTATATTTAGTAATATACACAACTTGCGAATGCAACTAATGGAAAGTATAGCATTGAAATTGTAACATATTATGTGTTATAAAAATACTTTACTTTGTTACATTACAAGGAATACTTTATACCATAAATGTGCTCATTGTTCGGGTTGAGACAATAAAGTCAGGGTAGCCAACATAAATAACCAACGTTTTTCTAAGAGAAATAAGACATATTGCATCTATATTTTCGACACTTAAACTTATTCAAATGGTTTGCGAAGAATTCCTTTATAGCCAATAAAGGAATTCTTCGCAAACCTTTGCTTGTTGTTTAAAAAAAATAGAGAAAGAAGATCGGAAGAGACTTGTTAAGATAGTAATATTTACGCTTTTTTAAGATAGCCTTCTTTCCTTGGACATATAAACAACACACGCAAACACACACATATACACACAGACACACACACACAAGCGCGCGCGTGCGCGCGCGCTCACACACACACGCACACACACAAACGCGCGCGCCCCAACGCAAAAACACACATACACGTGTTCACAAACCTAATACCATCGTTTTTAATACATAACATCAGATTTTTTAACTAAGAGATAAATAAATATATGGTTTGTTTTATTTAAAATTTTGTGTTTACAATTTTGGATGGTCTTAAAAATGATTAATAACATATCAAGCAAACGGAAGATCTTATTATCAGCGAATTTATACCTCAGTGTAATTTATAAAGCTTATCGAAGTCGGGGATAATGTTGAACATGATGTTGTTGTATCTCTTTGATGGCAGAAACGGATTTTATCGCGTGTATATTAAGTTATTTTATATTGCCTACGTGTCGCAAATGGAGGATGTTATTGTTTTACATGGTTGTAGTACAAATGGGCCGGCTCGACCGGGGTAGGACCACGTTTTTACAATACCAGCTTAAAATTGCAGACTAATTCTGCTGTGTTTCGTATGGTGTCTTTAGGGCGCTCCGGTTTCTTACACAAACCATACCCATTTTACTGGAAACGAGGCATTCCATTTTACTCCTCACGGGTGACACCGCATCTGAATTTTGATTCTTAATTGAGGATAGATGTTGTGTCTTCTGGCGACAACATCCACATAATCCATAGATGAACTGTATGCATTCATTTCATCACCACAGTTCTCACCATTATTATTTAAAAAAAAAACATCAAGTCGAATGCTTAGATTTTAAATGTTGGTGTCATCACACAAAAATATTTTTAGTGATATAACTACAAAATAACTGTTTTCAGAATGTTTCCTTTACTTGAGCTGCGAGACTTTGCTTCTTGCCATATTTCACAATTCATGAAAACATTCAATTAATCAAATCGGAAAATACCCTATAGATTTGGCCCTTAGTTTCCGAGTATCAATATGTGTGATATATATTTATACTAGCTCGCCAGGCAGACGTTGTTTTGCCCTTTCCAACGACCCTTCCTATAAAAATACAAATTTTACCCGGACAATATGTTTTATATAAAAAAATATTCGAATAAAAATAAGTTCAATTGGTGTAAAGGCGTAATTATACAAAAACTTGGTAAAATCATATACTTAATACGAGACTCTTTGTTAAATACTGTTGTAAAAAAACATGTAAATCAAATAATTTTATATAAAGGCACTATTAATGCAAGTAGACCTTGGGAGCTAGATATTCTCAGCCCTGATACCCCAGGTAGTTCAGTATCGACACCGGCGTCATGCGTATCTATATTACCGCCAGATTTGCAATGTCATGACCAAGTTCGCGAGTTGGGAGAGGGGGATGGACACGAGGACAGAATATTAACACCTGTGCCTACAGCTGGGACTTCTAATGAGAACTTGACGAATTCTCATGACTCTTGCCGCCAATCACGATCACCCTCACATATAACAGTAACGCAAGGAGTTCGGCGTCCAAAGTCGTCGGATGATGAAGAAGAGGTATCACGGGCACAAGAGTATCAAGCGCCATTAAAACGAAATCGCCCTAAGGTTGACTATAAAAAGGTTTTTTAGTATGTTTTAAATATATTTAATATGTTAGTTTTTTTATATAAGGTGTGATATATGTATAATTAAATGTAGTACACAGACCAACGGTGGCGCCACACTCGCATTGCCGATCTGTCATCGGTAGCGAGTGGACGTTGTCTTGTGCTGTGTACCTACTTACTGATAGTTGGTTGTTTTAGTAAACCCTATACTTAAATTAGTGAACATCACATTGGCGACGAGTAAAAGCGTAGTAAGTAAAATTTTCGGTAAAATTTTAAACCAGTTTACGGATATTGGTCAGCAACAAAATTAAAATAGTACATTTATTTTTTTACATACATTTTTTCAAAAAATAGAAAAGAAATAAGTGATGGATACTTTGAAATTATATTACTATTGAGTATTTATATTACTTGTTTATTCAAAATTAAATAGTTCATCGTTTATTGTGCCGTTACCGTGCCACTTTGGTGGCGATTGACCAGGAATGTGTTGTTTAAATCTCATCGAAGTCATTTCGTCATTTATTTAGTGTAACGAAAGCGGTTACGGCATTTCATTTCGAGTCTTATTTCGACAAAAGTAAATTAATATCCTTATTGTATATCTAAATAGTGTTTCCAAAGTACTCAACTATGATTATAATACAAGTATTGTTGACCAAATCTGTTTGCTAATGATTCCTATCGAAAAATATTTTGTTAAAATAACCAAACAGGGTAACGAATCGTGTTACCAGTTTAACATAGTACCACTTCAATAAATTGGGAGTTATGTTCCAGTTACTGTTAAAACTAAACAAGTGTCAAACCCGTATGGATAAGTAATATAATGAAAAAAAAAATAGGACAAAGTGAATGTATTTTGCACTGTATATCGTTATAAAACAAACATTTATATATCTTCTTTAGTTAGTGTCATTATTTGTTAATATCGCTGCACATCATATTAATATAATATTTTGTGTCATGACAGTTTGTTTGTAATAATATCAAGTCAGATAGTGTAGTGAGTACTTACCAAATATCAATGTGTGCATCTATAGTCGTCACAGACCATACAGTAATCTATTGAGACAGACTATACAGTAATCTATGTCGCAGACTAATATGCTTGTTTATGTACATGATATGAGATTGCGTTCACCGAGGAGTATATAATCTCTACGGTAAGCTTTCACGGTACGGATCACAGAATAATAAATATGTAGCAAGCTAGTGCATAGTGTGGACTGGTGTGGACCCTATTGCTGTATCGATGTTGCTAGTCACAAAATATTAAATGCTGGTTACAGTCAGTCTCAACTAAAAATAAAATGGCTTATACTTCTTAATAAAATGGCTTATTCTTTTGCTAAAGCCAATAATATTTATTCAATATGAATATTGATAATTTTAATATTAACCATTTATTTAACGCTACTTAAAAAAAATTGATCTAGGAATTCTTTTACTACATTGGTATGCTTACAAGTCCCCTCCCTTACTTATTTACAGATCGTCCAAAAATGTTCCAATCACAAGTCCCAGCAATAGAACCATTCGATTGTGAAGGCGATCCAACCTCCATAAGTTTCCGGTGGGACAAATGGAAACGTGCCCTAGAAATATACTTCGTAGCAACCAATACCAATGCTCAAATTACAAAACGCGCCATGCTACTACATTTCGGAGGCATGGCGTTACAAGACATTTATTTCAATATACCTGGTGCCCACGTGACTAATCCTGATGCGACTGACGTGTATGACACAGCAATTAAAAAGTTGGACGAGTATTTTTCCCCCAAACAAAGTTATTTATTTGAAAGGCACATTTTTCGGTTAATGAAACAAGAACCAAACGAGAAGTTTGAAAAATTTTTGGTTCGTCTAAGACGTCAAAGTTCTAAATGCAATTTCGCTAATGCAGACGAAAATCTTATTGACCAAATAATAGAAAAGTGTAGCTCGACCAAATTAAGGAAGAACATTTTGGTACTTGGTGACACGGCAACCATTGAAAAAATCGTGGCAGAAGCAAATTCCCTAGAAACCGTAGAACGGCAGCTAAACGAGTTTCACGATAGGCAGAGCACAACAACTACCACCCTAAATAAAATTGACACTAAAACAACAAAACTATATTCTAAAAAAGAGGTTAATTTCTGTAGCCGATGTGGCAGTAAAAGTCACAAAAATGACAATAGTTCCTGCCCTGCTATAAATGTGAATTGTATGAAATGTGGGTTCAAAGGTCATTTTCAGAAACACTGTAGAACAAGGGCCAATAAAAGAAAAAGTACCAACCTCTCGTCAAATGAAAACCATAAAGTTAAGAAACCCAAGACAGAAACCACAAAAAATAGAGAGTCTGCATCTGTAGACTATATTTTCCATATCGACGACGACGCAACAATAGATTGTCAGGTAGGTGGTGTAAATATAAAAATGCTCATTGATTCCGGTAGTAGATCAAATATTATTAATGATAAAACTTGGGTATACATGAAACGATCTAAAGTTATAGTTTCCAACCAACAAAAGTCTTCAGATAAAACGTTCCTGGCTTATGGTGCCAAACATCCCCTTAAAGTGTTAGGCTCATTTGATGCACAAATAAAAGTTGGTCCTAAATCATTATTAACAAAATTTTATGTCATAGAAAATGGTTCAAGGAATCTTTTGGGTAAAGAAACCGCCATTTCTCTTGATGTGCTAAAACTAGGCTTTGTCGTGAATTCCATTGAGGAAAAACAATATCCCAAGTTCAAAGATGTTCAATTAAACATCACTATTGACAAAACTGTTCCTCCAGTTTGTCAACCTTATAGACGAGTCCCAATTCCTTTGGAATTAAGGATAAATAAGAAAATAGACGAACTGGTTAAAATGGACATCATTGAACCTGTAAATAACCCATCTTCTTGGGTTTCTCCGATGGTACCGATTCTAAAGTCTGATGATGATATTCGAATTTGTTTGGATATGCGAGCTGCTAACAAAGCAATTATTAGAGAAAATCATCCCTTGCCTACCATGGAACAACTTTTTCCCAAATTTTGCAAAGCAACATGTTTTTCAAAGTTGGATATTAAAAATGCTTTTCATCAGGTTGAACTAGATAAAAATAGCAGAAATATCACAACTTTTATCACTAGTAAAGGGCTTTACCGGTACAAAAGGTTAATGTTCGGGATATCTTGCGCACCTGAACATTTCCAAAAAATTATGGAGAAAATGTTATTGCCATGCGAAGGAGTGGTAAACTTCATAGATGATATTGTTGTCTTTGGACGTGATAAAAAAGAACATGATAACAGGCTTCAACATGTTTTAACAGTACTCAAAGACAATAATGTTTTACTGAATAAAAATAAATGTATTTTTAATGCAAAGTCTATTCAGTTTCTGGGCCACGAGCTTTCGCAATCAGGTATTAAACCACTTGACAAATATATAAAAGCAATCGAGACGTTTAGACCACCGGAAACCATCGAAGAAATTCAAAGTTTTCTGAGCTTAATCAACTATGTAGGAAAGTGGATCCCCAATTTGTCAACCTTAACGGAACCCATTCGGCAATTGCTTCGAAAAAAAAATGCACAAAAATGCTAATATCATAACTTTTTGGAAAAAAGAACATTAAACGGCTTTTGACGAATTAAAAAATTGTCTCTCCAAGATTCCTACTCTTGGCTACTATGACCCAAATAATCGTACCCAAGTAATCGCCGATGCAAGTCCGGTAGGTTTAGGCGCTGTACTGATTCAGTATGATGACAATGGACCCCGCATCATTGCCTTCGGAAACAAGAGCCTGACAGACATTGAGAAACGATACTGTCAGACCGAAAAGGAGGCATTGGCTTTAGTGTGGGCAATTGAACACTTCCACATGTACTTATACGGGAAAAAGTTTGAGCTTATCACAGACCATAAACCTCTGGAGGTTATATTTGGTACGCGATCAAAGCCTTGTGCACGAATCGAGCGCTGGGTCCTTCGGTTACAAGCATATGATTATAAAGTTATTTATAAGCCCGGAAAATCCAACATAGCAGACCCATTATCACGTTTATGTACGACCAGCATTCAAAACAGTTCTTTTGAAGACGAACATCATGTTAACCAGATTGTTCAACACGCACGACCCATAGCATTATCTCTTAAATCGATTATTGAAGCATCAAATGACGATGATGAGTTTAAATTAGTAAAAGATGCTTTGATGAACAATGCTTGGGATGCTTCAATAAATAATTATAAATTATTTCAACATGAACTCTGGTTACACGATGGCGTCTTGTTGAGAGGAAACAATATGGTGATTCCTACTAAGTTGAGGAAACAAGTGTTAGCAGCAGCCCATGAAGGTCATCCAGGTATAGTCAATATGAAAGCTAGGCTGCGCACAAAAGTTTGGTGGCCAAAAATAGACAATGACGCTGAAAATACCGTGAAAAGCTGCAGAGGGTGTACTTTAGTCTCGGCACCCAATCCACCAGTACCTATGAAAAGGCGTGAACTCCCTTCAAAAGCCTGGGTGGATACAGCCGTTGATTTTTTGGGTCCACTGCCAAGCGGAGATCATCTTTGAGTGATTATTGACTATTATAGTCGGTATAAAGAGATCGAAATCATGAAATCTATTTCAACACAAGACACAATAAAAGTATTGAAAAAAATTTTTTCACGAGCCGGAAATCCTGCAAGTATAACTGCCGCCGATAATGGTAGACAATTCTGTAGTCAGGAATTCAAAACATTTTGTACTGAACAAGGAATAACGCTTTTTAATACGATCCCTTACTGGCCTCAGCAAAATGGTGAAGTAGAGAGGTAAAACAGGGATATCCTTAAACGACTGCGAATAAGTCAGTGCGAAAAATCAGACTGGAAAGATGATTTGTTAAAATACCTAATGATGTAATAACAGTACTCCTCATCCTTCCACAGGAAAGTCTCCATCCGAGCTGTTCTATGGAAGACAATTCAGAGACAAACTACCTTTTTTAACGGACCTCGAAAATAGTTATGATGATCAAGAAATAAGAGACCGAGACATAGAAAGAAAAGATAAAAGCAAATTAAACGAAGACAGGAAAAGAAGAGCTGTTGATAGGGAACTAGAAATAGGAGATAAAGTGTACGTGAAGAACTTAATAAAAGAAAATAAATTAGTTTCAGAATTTAACCCAACCCCCCATACTGTTATTAGCTCCGAAGGCAGTGACATAAACATAAAAAATGATGAAACTGGTCAGGAGTACAGGAGGAATATCGTACACCTTAAGAAAGTGGAAGGTCAATGGAAAGTTGTTGATCAGGATAAAGAAGTTCAGATTGATAATTGATTAAATTATAAAACATTGTTCTGTTTGTATATTGTAATAATAAAATTAATTAATATATAAAAAGGAAGAGATGTGATATATGTATAATTAAATGTAGTACACAGACCAACGGTGGCGCCACACTCGCATTGCCGATCTGTCATCGGTAGCTAGTGGACGTTGTCTTGTGCTGTGTACCTACTTACTGATAGTTGGTTGTTTTAGTAAACCCTATACTTAAATTAGTGAACATCACATAAGGTATTACATATTATAAAACCCTCACTATAGGGGGAGGAATGTTGTGTATTATACCTGTGCGCGGCTGCGTCCGCACCCAATAATAATGTTTGCTATTAAAGCAGTACATCGACAGCCGTTGAGTATTTAACTAGTCCCCTGCGCTCCGTATCCGCGAACATAACAATAATAAAAAAATTTGAGGGTCAATTAGCGGGATAAAAACTATCCTATCTCTCAAGTTGCACCAAAATGCACACAGTGTGCAAAATTTCATTGAAATCAGTTCATTAGTTTCGGAGTCAATCGCGGACAAACAACGTGACACGTAATTTTTATATATAAAGATTTGCTTTGACATTGAGGCTCGATTTTTTCAAATCCAAGGCACGATAGGCCTTAGTATTTGTTATTAATTTCATCTTAATACCTCTATCTACCGTTCCTGAGAAAAACGTCTTGAGAGACTGACACACGGACGGCGGGCGGACAACTAAATGATCCTTAAAATATTCCATATTTATATTATGGGGTATGGATTTCTGAAACCGATTATTGCTAAAAATAATTGCCTAGAACCTGTGTCTATATCACATGTTATCGTCTTCCGGTCCTGGGTTCACAAGCTCGTCACATAATTAAGTTTATTTTAATCTCCCAGAGAATTACAAAACCTTTATTAGACTAATAACATAATTTTTATAATACTTAATAAATGATGATTAAATAATAACTGACGCCTTCCGCTTGTCAGCTTCCGGCGAACCTAAAATTAATGTTATTAAATGTGTATAAACAATTGTTATTAGTGTTTAGTCGTTGCTATATTGATTGACAGTTATTTTATAATTTATGATGCAATATTTATAGTAATAAGAATATTAATGTTCATTATTAAGTTAATATCTAAATTTTATAAAAGGCCGCTGTGACGGATAGATCAGTCAGTTGTTTTGTAACCGCCAGTAAGTAAAGGTGTGAAAAGTAACTCTGTCAGTTTGTGAAAGTGATTACAAAGTATATAATATATACCAAGTAAAAATATCGTTTATCTGCGGTTAGTCGTACCTAGTCTATCCGCCATCTACACACAACTTACAATATAACATTTAATTTTGATTACTAGTTTTTTTGAAAAATAACTAACACAAAGTAAATGAAAAACATAAAATCTAAATTAAGCTATAAAGTGCTCAAACATTTTTGATCCGTTGTGTAGTTTTATTTCTACAGTTATTTTTCTGTTTAGAAGTAGGCAATAAGCTTTTATCTATTTTAATGATTAATTATAAAATTATTACCACAACCATTTTCATTCACTTATTAATTTGTATCAAATTTGTATTGCCGTGTGATAGCTCGGCGGCGTTAGAAAATCTAATACAGCGTATCATCTCGTGGGTATAGTAAGCGGCGCAAGAGGGAAACTGAAACAGGAGACGGGCAGCAGAAAATGATGATGATGATTAAATTTGTATAAAATGAGTCATTTAAGTTACATATAAAAATAGCTATTCATACCTAATCCAAGTCTTAGGGAAACAGTACTAGTACGTGGGTATCGACACTTCTTTGTCGTTTGTGTTTTGTTGTAGAGCCTAGTTGTTGTGTATTAAGACTGCAGTGTACGAATGAGTGGGCCAGCGGAAAATATTGCTGCTGAGTTTCTTGTGCTGAGTGACTAAAACGAAGATCCTATGTTTTTACCTTTTTTATTTGGTAACGAAATATTACTTCTTACTCAACAGGTAGTAATAGTATCACATCTTAATGCCTATTTTAATTCTTCATCCAGAAAGTATATAGATGCCCATGGCTCACAGCATCCACCTACAATGAAGTTAGTATAGGCATGGCTTTTAAGAAGGGTATGTCTGGTGGCACATTCTTTAAAAGACATAGTCCTGCTGTGGACATAAAAACAAGAAAATACCGGTTATCGTAATGGGCGGCAGAGAAAAATTAAACAAGAGATGGGCAGTGTCATCTCTTTAATAACAGCTCTAAATATTAAATAGTTGTATTAGTCAACCCGCTTGCCAAGCGTGGTTAATTTGGCAAATATCTCCCCTATTAGCCGATCTTGTATTGCCATGTGGTAGCTTAGCGGCATTAGAAAATGCGATACCGCGTATCATCCCATGGGTAAGCCTTTGTTTAACAGTGGACTTAATGGTAGGTAGTCGTAGGTAGTAATGGATGAATGATCAGTTTGAAACTTTAATTTGAAAAAAAAATTTAAATATACTCAATATGATATATAACAATATGAATATGCTTTACAAGACACAAAGGAAAGGTGGGATGTTTACTTTTTCATTTATGTGATATTTGTTTTATTTAAAATATTGTGTTTACAATTTTGGATGGTTTTAAAAATGATTTTAACATAACAAGCAAACGGAAGATCTTATTATCAGCGAATTTACACTTCAGTGTAATTTATAAAGCTTATCGAAGTCGGAGATAATGTTGAACATGATGTTGTTCTCTCTCTTTGATGGCAGAAACGGATTTTATCGCGTATATATTAAGTTATTTTATATTGCCTACGTGTCGCAAATGGAGGATATTATTGTTTTACATGGTTGTAGTACGAATGGGCCGGCTCGACCGGGGTAGAACCACGTTCTCACAATACCAGCGTAAAATAGCAGACTAATTCTGCTGTGTTTCGTATGGTGTCTTTAGGGCGCTCCGGTTTCTTACACAAACCATACCCATTTTACTGGAAACGAGGCATTCCATTTTACTCCTCACGGGTGACACCGCATCTGAATTTTGATTCTTAATTGAGGATAGATGTTGATGTCTTTTGGCGACAACATCCACATAATCCATAGATGAACTGTATGCTCATTTCTTACTATTATTATTTTAAAAAAAACATCAAGTCCAATGCTTAGATTTTAAATGTAACTACAAAATACTTAACTGTTTTCGGAATGTTTCCTTTACTTGAGCTGCGAGACTTTGCTTCTTGCCATATTTCACAATTCATCAAAACATTCAATTAATTAAATCGGAAAATGCCCTATAGGTTTTGGTCCTTAGTTTCCGAGTATCAATATGTGTGATATATATTTATACTAGCTTGCCAGGCAGACGTTGTTGTGCCCTTTCCAACGATCCTTCCTATAAAAATACAAATTCATAATAAAAAAATTTGAGGGTCAATTAGCGGGATAAAAACTATCCCATCTCTCAAGTTGGACCAAAATGCACACAGTGTGCAAAATTTCATTGAAATCAGTTCATTAGTTTCGGAGTCCATCGCGGACAAACAACGTGACACGTAATTTTTATATATAAAGATTTGCTTTGACATTGAGGCTCGATTTTTTCAAATCCAAGGCACGATAGGCCTTAGTATTTGTTACTAATTTCTATATATATATATTTCTATCTACCGTTCCTGAGAAAACACGTCTTGAGAGACTGACACACGGACGGCGGGCGGACAACTAAGTGATCCTTAAAATATTCCGTATTTATATTATGGGGTTTGGATTTCTGAAACCGATTATTGCTAAAAATAATTGCCTAGAACCTGTGTCTATATCACATGTTATCGTCTTCCGGTCCTGGGTTCACGAGCTCGTCACATAATTAAGTTTATTTTAATCTCCCAGAGAATAACAAAACCTTTATTAGACTAATAACATAATTTTTATAATACTTAATAAATGATGATTAAATAATAACTGACGCCTTCCGCTTGTCAGCTTCCGGCGAACCTAAGATCAATGTTATTAAATGTGTATAAACAATTGTTATTAGTGTTTAGTCGTTGCTATATTGATTGACAGTTATTTTATAATTTATGATGCAATATTTATAGTAATAAGAATATTAATGTTCATTATTAAGTTAATATCTAAATTTTATAAAAGGCCGCTATGACGGATAGATCAGTCAGTTGTTTTGTAACCGCCAGTAAGTAAAGGTGTGAAGAGTAACTCTGTCAGTTTGTGAAAGTGATTATAAAGTATATAGTATATACCAAGTAAAAATATCGTTTATCTGCGGTTAGTAGTACCTAGTCTATCCGCCATCTACACACAACTTACAATATAACATTTAATTTTGATTACTAGTTTTTTTGAAAAATAACTAACACAAATTAAATGAAAAATATAAAATCTAAATTAAGCTATAAAGTACTCAAACATTTTTGATCAGTTGTGTAATTTTATTTCAACAGTTATTCTTCTGTTTAGAAGTAGGCAATAAGCTTTTATCTATTTTAATGATTAATTATAAAATTATTACCACAACCATTTTCATTCACTTATTAATTAGTATCAAATTTGTATTGCCGTGTGATGGCTCGGCGGCGTCAGAAAATCTAATACAGCGTATCATCTCGTGGGTATAGTAAGCGGCGCAAGAGGGAAACTGAAACAGGAGACGGGCAGCAGAAAATGATGATGATGATTAAATTTGTATAAAATGAGTCATTTAAGTTACATATAAAAATAGCTATTCATACCTAATCCAAGTCTTAGGGAAACAGTACTAGTACGTGGGTATCGACACTTCTTTGTCGTTTGTGTTTTGTTGTAGAGCCTAGTTGTTGTGTATTAAGACTGCAGTGTACGAATGAGTGGGCCAGCGGAAAATATTGCTGCTGAGTTTCTTGTGCTGAGTGACTAAAACGAAGATCCTATGTTTTTACCTTTTTTATTTGGTAACGAAATATTACTTCTTACTCAACAGGTAGTAATAGTATCACATCTTAATGCCTCTTTTAATTCTTCATCCAGAAAGTATATAGATGC